TTGTGCATTGTTGGTGGGAATGCAAAATGGTTCAGGCACTGTGGAAAACCTTGTGGTAGTTCCTCAAAAAATTAAAAATCTATTTACCATATAATCTAGCAATTCCACTTCTGGGTATATCCCCAAAAGAATTGAAGACAGGATCTCAAAGAGATATTTTTACACCCATGTTCAGAACAGCACTATTCTCAATAACTACAACACGGAAGAAACTCAAGTGTCCATCAAGAGATAAACAGATAAACAAATGTGGCATATACATATATAATGGACTATTATGTAGCATGAAAATGAAGGAAATTCTGACTCACGTAACAACAGGGATGAACCTTGAGGACAGTACACAAAATGAAAAAAGCCAGTCATAAAAAGGCAAATACTGTATGATCCCACTTATATGAGGTACTCAGAACAGTCAAAATCATAGAGACAAAAAGTAGATTAAGTAGCTGCCAGAGGCTGAGGATGGGGGCTGGGCAGTTATTACTGAATGGGTGTAGGGTTTCAGTTTTACAAGATGAAAACTATTGCAGAGATGAATGGTAGCAAGATGAATGTGCTTAATGCCACTGAACTGTACACTTAAAAATGTTCAAGATGGTAAATGTTATGTGCACTTTACCACTATTAAAAAAAAAGATTTTAGGGGCACCTGGGTGGCTCAGTCGTTAAGCGTCTGCCTTCGGCTCAGGTCATGATCCCAGAGTCCTGGGATCGAGCCCCACATCGGGCTTCCTGCTCTGCCGGAAGCCTGCTTCTCCCTCTCCCACTCCCCCCCTGCTTGTGTCCCTCTCTCGCTGTGTCTCTCTCTGTCAAATAAATAAACAAAATCTTTAAAAAATAAATAAATAAATAAATAAAAAATTTTAATTTAAAGACAAACTATTTTTATAATTTGTTTTTAAGATTTTTTAAACACATGCAGATTAGCAAACTGGACCAAGCAATGTATGAATATGATGAAGTTAGATTTACATCAGAAATGTAAGGCTGATTTAATATTAGGAAGTTAGATTAAAAGAAAAGAAATACAAGATTATGTCAACAGACAAAAAAGTTTGATAAACTTCAACATCCATTCATGATAAAACTCTTAGAAAACAGGGAACAGTAGGTAACCTCTCAAACCTGATAAATGATGGCTGCAACAATAAAATCCTAGGGCAAAGATCACACTTTATAGTTGAAACGCTGAAAGCACTCCCTTTGAGAGCAGGAACAAGACCAAGATGGCTGATATGACCACTTCTATTCAGTATGTACTAAAAGGTTCTTTGAGCTAGGACAGTAAGATAAGAAACCATGTTTTAAAAATAAAAGACACAAGGATTGGAAGGAGGAGTTAAACTATTAGTATTTGCAGATGATAATGACTGGTTATTGAAAAAGTAATGTATGGGTAAACTGAGAATTTAATGAGATTTTAATAAGACTGTTTGCAACAAAACTCAGCAGACACAAGTCAACTGAGATAACACGCTCGCTAGGATGGGTAGAACCAAAAACTCAGATAATAATAAATGTTGGCAAGGGTGTGACGAAGTCAGAACTCTTACACGGTGCTGGTAAGAATGTAAAGTCGTGCAGCTGCTTTGGAAAACAGTCTGACAGTTCCACAAATGATTAAACACAGAGTTACCAAATGACCCAGCAATTCCACTCCCAGATATACGCCCAGAAAAATGAAAGCAAACATCCACACAAAACTTGTATATGAATGCTGCAGCAGCGCTGCATATAGCGAAAGATGGAAGGAATTCAAGTGTCCAGCAACAAACGGATACACAAAATGTGTTACATCCATACGATGGGATATGACGCAGGCATAAAAAGGAATAAAGTATTGACACGTGCTACAACACAGATGAACCTTGAAAACATTAGGCGAAGTGAAGGAAGCCAGTCACAAAAGACCACATGCTACATGATTCTGTTTCTATGAAATGTCCAGAATAGATAAACATACAGAGACAGAAAGTGGATTAGTGGTCGGTTAGGACTCAGGAGAAGGAAGGGATAGTGGAGGGACAGGTAAAAGGTACAGGGTTTCTTTGTGAGGTGACGGAAATGTTCTACAACTGATTATAGTGATGACCCCATGTATCTGTAAATATACTAAAATACACTGAACGGTACAACTTAAATGAAGGAATTATATGGTATATGAATTAGATTTCAATACAACTTGTTTTTTTAAAGTTGACTGTATTTCTATATACCACAAAAAATTATTAGAAAATACGTTTTACTTTATAACGTATCAGAATGCATGCAAGAAGTGGAGAAACTTAGACAATTGTACCAAAAAGAGATTAAGTAAATGAAAGGTAATGCGATGTTCATGTATTAGAAATTTCAGTAGGATAAAAATGTCAGTTCTCCTCAAGTGACTCAACAGTTCCAATCAAAATCCCAATGGAACTCTCCTATAACATTTGAGAAGCCGGTTGTTAAATTGACAATGAAGACGCGTGGGCCAACAACAGCCAAGACACTCACTATGAAAAAAGAACAAGAGGAGAAATGTACTCTTACAGCTAGAAGGCTTCTTGTCAAGCTAGGATAATGAAGGCCTAAAGGTCTTAGTGTAGGGAAAGAGTAGAGCCCAGAAAGAGATCCATGTATAGTACGCTGACACTGGATTTATACGCAGCAAGCATGGTAGATCAAATTGGGTATGTGTACTTCACATCCTACACAAAATTAAATCCAGGTGGATTATAGACTTAAATGTATCTATTAACCTTTTAGAAGACAATGTGGAATAGCAGGAAAATTCAGAAGAGCAATGAAGCAAGACTAGTGCTCATACAAAAACATATTATAAAGAATCATTAAAAACAATGGGGTACTGAATGAAGCATGAGCAGACAGAATAAAAAGTCCAGAAATACATCATAGTATATGTGGGGATTGAGTATGGTAAAAGTGGCATCTCAAAGGAGTAGGAAAAGATGAAATTTTTTTAAATTTTATTTATTTGAGAAAGAGAGAAGTAGAGAGAAAGCACGAGCAGAGAGAGGGAGAAGCAGACTCCCCACCAAGCAGGGAGCCCAATGTGGGGCTCGATCCCAGGAGTCTGGGATCATGACCTGAGCCGAAGGCAGTCGCTTAACCGACTGAGCCACCCAGGTGCCCCAAAAATGAACTTTTTAATCAAAGACGTTGGGACAACTGGGTAACTATCTGGGCGAGGGGGGACTAAATTGGCCCATATACACCACATGTACAATAAAATGTCCATTTTATTAATCTAGGTGGTAGGTATAGGAATGTTCAGTTTAAAATTCAAGAAAAGCCAAGTATGTCAGACTTTTACAAAGCAAAATCAAAATAAAGCTGTTATTTGAATCCCATACCCCCAATTAAATTAATGTCCTCTTGCTGTAAAACTAAAAGCTAAAGTAGAAAGCATTTCCCAACTCAGCGAAACAAGCATTTATTACTTGCCAAGCCAACAGGGAACAGGAAGGGCAAACAGCGCAGGCTAGTAGGAATCCTAAGGATCATCTAGCATTAGCCCCTTCATTTTTACAAAAAAGATACTGAGGACCTGAAATGACCTGTGGGGAACGCAAAAGTGTTCTGTGTCAAATTTAGGAAGAAGGGAAAAACACTGGAAGCAGAAAAATCGTTTTGTTCGGTTATGATCCCTGCTATAGGAAAATCCAGCTTTTATAGAATTAGAGAAAAAATATATCTCCATGGAAACAATATTCCCAAGTATCCATCTGAGGCTGAGAAGTATGCTTTTCTATGCAAATCTTCACATCCGAAGTGTACACACAGGATGTGGGGTGAGGAGGTACTAAAAAGAGCAGAGCTTTATAATCAGACAGGTCTGGATCTGAATTCTGGCTCTACCACTTACTGAATCCTAGCCAATCTTAGTCCTAGCTAAGCCCCAGTTTTTTATCAGCAAAATGGGAATAATTAAGACCTTATAAATTTGTCAGGAATGTAAAGAAGTACAAGTCATCTAATTCATGGATTCATACATTGGTGGCTACTGAATGTAGGCTTTCTGACATTTACTCATAGTTGCATAATGCTCAATAAAAAGCACCACCTCTGAATGCCTGTCAGTTCATGATTAACATGCTATCAGCTGACTAGCCTGTAAATGGAATTCTACTAAAGGCAGGGGGAAGATGCTGTTGATTTCTCCATCAATAGGAATTTATTAATTAGTTGACAGCAGCTGTTAGGTGCCACATGTTTGAGGTAAAATAAAAGGTTGCTTGATGGTTTGGGTTTTTGTTTTTTGTTTGTTTTTTTAAGATTTACTTACTTATTTGAGAGTGAGAGAGAGAGAGCACAAGCAGGAGGGCACAGGGGGAGAGAGAGAGAATCTCCAGCATCTCAAAACTGGGAGAAATCTCACAGGGCATCCAGCAAGAATCCTCTCCACAGTAGATCAGATCACATTACATGGCCAACTTCTGCTTAAAGGCTTCTAGTTTAAAACCAGCTTCTCACTTGTATTATCTGACCCTTCTAATGATCAGAAAGGGCTTTTCCTCCCACTTAGAATAACCAGGTGATGAAAAGTTAATGATAACGTATAAATGCCAAGCCACACTCACCGACTTTTGGAATAAAAATCTGTAAGTGTTGTCTTCATTTGGGGGTAAGAAAGGATATTCTATTTTTTTTTTTTTTTAATATTTTATTCATTTGACAGAGAGACAGCGAGAGCAGGAACACAAGCGGGGAGGGTCAGAGGGAGAAGCAGGCTTCCCGCCGAGCAGGGAGCCCGACGCGGGACCCGATCCCGGGACTCCGGGACCATGACCTGAGCCGAAGGCAGACGCCCAACGACTGAGCCACCCAGGCGCCCAAGGATATTCTATTTAATAACAATTCCATAACATAAAAAGTCAAGTTCCAAAAGTGCATCTTGAAGTTTATATTTACATCCTCAAAACAAAATACAGCCTAGAAACTCTGCCTTATATTTATATAAAATATATAATATACAAAACACAAAGAAAACATACCTGGGATGATATCATTGATGTGCAAGAGAATTGTACTTTCAACACTTGCAAAACTACAAAGCTGCACTCCGTCAAATCTGCCATCCCAATTCCCAATAGGATTATCCTAGAAATTAAGTAATAGAATAAAGTTGTAAACCCTTCTCAATAAAACATGAGTATGAAAATCTCTATTTTCCAGAAAATGATCTTCCAAAAGATTTTACACGGGCCAATTTTAACTATTTTTCCTAAAAGAGAAAAGAATGTATCAGAAATAATGGCCACAGTAATAGTTTTTGGTTTGTTTGTGTTTACTTGGTTTTTGCTTTTGTTTTGGTAAAAATGAGATCCAAGAATAATCAAGTTATAGTAAGCTCATAGATGAGCAAGAAATTGAAAGTATTGGTCATGCTTTACTGGACAACAGATGCTAGTCTACACGGTAATACCCATTTGCACAGGAAGACTTATTGGTAACACATTGTTTCACCCAGAAATCTGCCCCCAATTAAGCCTAGCTTGTTCTAATCACTCCTACACTCCCTGAGCTTAACTTAAGTATTCCATTTGAACCCCTCTATGCCATTCTATACATAGCAAATCTATTTTTTATTGTTCTTTTGACATTGTAGGGATATGCAAGAATTCCCTCTGAAATAGATTTTTACATTCAATTCTTTTATATTCCAATGTAACACCAAGTAGTACAGTGCTGTTCCCCGAGCTAGATTAAAAGATGGGCCAGTCAGACAACTGCCCTGAACACCAATGTGTACAACATGCTGTCATCAGAAACAGAAGCAGATGAAGAATACTGCATTTGCCAGAACTTTCTTTTCTTTTTTTTTTTTTTTTTTTTTTTTTATTTGAGAGAGAGAGAATGAGAGACAGAGAGCACGAGAGGGAAGAGGGTCAGAGGGAGAAGCAGACTCCCTGCCGAGCAGGGAGCCCGATGCGGGACTCGATCCCGGGACTCCAGGATCATGACCTGAGCCGAAGGCAGTCGCTTAACCAACTGAGCCACCCAGGCGCCCTGGAACTTTCTTTTCAAAGAGCACACTAGAGGGGTTTGGAATATACACTTGCACAGGCCAACTGAAGGACAGACAGAGGCGGGGGAGAAGCTGGTGGGGCAAAGCTCTAGGCAGCCTGCCCCGAGTAAACAAGATGATCCTCAGGACTGCCATCTAAGAAGGGGGAAGGCCTACAGGGCTTTTACCAAGTAGGAGGCCCAGATGCCGAAGCAAGAGACACTAACCCTAATGGCCAATGGCCTTCTTTTCTCCAACCCTCCCTCCACCCAGCTCACAATCTCTCCTCTAAGTAAATATTAAAGGTGTGCTTTATCATTAGCTATCCTGAGGGACCCACACAGAATAGTGTGATCCTAAGTCTCTAACTTTTCACATGGCAAATGTTCAGTAAATGTTTGTCTAAACAACATAGTAATGTTTGTCGAACTAAAGGGTATCAAATAGAATTTCCTAGAATTTCCAAGCACAAGATAAACTGATGCTAGAGCATTCATACCCTCCCAAAAAGTATGCCTGAGTAGATAAAAATAATCACTAAACCCATCATGAGACAAGAGTCTATTAGTCATGGTCTCTCCTAACTCATTCTAGTGTTTAATAATTCTGTATGAGTTACTTCTTTCTACCTAACAAACTCTTGTCCATAGTGCCAATCTGTAATAAAAATGTTCTCAGGCTCTTTCTTCTCCCTCTCTTAATGCCCACAGGTAACATTCAACTTGTCATATTATAACGTTTCCGTTATGAACAAGTATGATTGCAAGGTAACATTAAAAATGACCAAAACAATGAGCAAAGGACAAATACTGTAGGATTCCACTTACATGAGGTACCTAGAAAAGGTAAATTCACAGAGACAGAAAGTGGAATGCTGGCTACCAGCAGAATACTAGCTGAGAGGAGTCATGGGAGTTAGCATTTAATGTGGACATTGTTCCAGTCTGGGATGATGAAAAGCTCTGGAGATAGGGGTGATGGTTGCACAACAGTGTGAATGAAATTAAATGCCATGCAACTATAAGCTTAAAAATGGTTAAAATGGTAAATGTTATGTTACATATATTTCACCACAATGAAAAGAAATAAGGAGATACTCTAATCATCTTCTCCTCTAAAGCAATGTGCTCTTCCTCTATGCACGTATTTCCCATAAATGATGTTTACACTACTCATTAAAATAAGATCAGCCAATAAGATTTTGCAAAATACCATAAAAAGAGAATCACAGATTAGGGGGGAAAAAAACAACCTTTGCAAGATAAAGAAAAATAAGACCTCAGATAACACACTTGGGTGGGGTTTTTTTTGTTTTTTTTTTTTTCCTGTTTATTGGTCAGCTATCATAGAGGAAATTTAAGGACTGAAACATTATTCCAGTTTATTCAAATTGGAAAAAAGAGTAAGTGCAACTCTATATCTAGACTCCTGTCCCATACCAATGTTCCCTTACCAAAGATAAATTAGAAGATGTTTTTAAGTTACTCCAAATTAGTCCATTTTAAATATTCGGGGTGCTTAATTTGTACCTAAAATTGGTCATAAAACAGATATACCCATAAAGATAATATACTCCAAAAGTTTCTTACCATGTCCACACCAACAAAATATCCTAAGCTTTCTTTTCCTGGCAAGACATCACAGAATATAACTGTGCCAGACTCTATAGTTTCTCCAAGCTTCAAAGAAACTCTGGAGTTTATTTCCAGAGGGGGAAGTTCCATCTGCATTGTGTCCCCTGGACCTGCAAAATCACTTTCCAATCCATTGTCATCATCTTCTAGGATTTCTAGCTTGTCCAACGCAACAAATACTCCACAGTCTTCATCACACTGAAAAAGCTGTTTCCCTTGATATATCCCGTCAGTGAAACCTTGGCCACGACCTTCTTCCTAGTTTTCAAATGAGAGGGGAAAAAAATGATTGATAGATAAAGAGATGGAGAAAGATGATCCAGAAGAAAAAAGATCCACTCTGGGGATTTCAGGGAAATCACTGGGAAAATTCTAAATGACACATACAAAAAATATTATTATTAGCAGCCGCTACTGAATTTCAAGTGTCTAAAAAAGAATAAAGAAGCTGTATGTGATGCTGAAATACAATTAATTAATTAATTAATTAAAAATCATAATTCCACTGTGAGAGAGCCTGGCCAGATCCTACATTGTGATTTGAACAATAATTTTGCCGTAAAAAGAAAAATTCACTTTAAAATAACGATAACATTAGCTCCATTTACTGAGTACTTACTATGGGCCAGCCACCCCGCTAACTCTTGAATCAGCCTATCACAAAAACACTTCAAGGTATGTACTGGTTTCACTATTTTACAGATGAGGAAGCAGATTTAGGGAAGTGGCTTGGTTAAGTAAGCCGGCAACCCAGCTAGTAAATAGCATAACTGGGATTCAAATCTCCAACTGTTTTACAATCACTGCTTTAAAAACTTTAATTACTAAATAAGGCATGAAATCCTATATGCAAGAATGTAAAAATGTAACTGACATTTAAGTTCTTGAGATTTAATATTAATTTTGGAAATGTATCACAGAGTTCTTGGTTCTCTCTTTAGTAGAAACAAATTCCAAGACAATTTTCACATACATTATGAGGGACGACCAAAAGCACGTTTAAATCGCTGCACCTTACTTTTCTAAAATCTTAGAGCTACATTACATTACTTAATAGCACACACTAAGAAAAACTGAGAAACCTACAGATGCTAATGTCACAAGATAATTAACAATTTGTGAAGTGAGTAATTCAGTTATAACTGGTAAAGTTCCCCATTTTTAAAATAGACAATGTTAAAATTTCTAAGATTTGAAAGCCTTGAATAATTACACGATCTATGTGTATTTCCTACCACAGTACGTTGTTTATTAAAAAGTTTTCAATGTATCATCTTTGCATCATCTCAATTTATCATTAGAAAGTAAATCCTAAGAATTATGAATATTAAAAATTACAGAAGATTTCTGGAAAAACTTTTTTGTTATATTTAAAGGGGGGAAAAAATACATGTGGGCATACAAATATACACAGAAACACACACACACAGCCCACTAAAACAGTTTATCAAACTTACCAGTAATTCTACTCCAAAGAATATTCCCGACACTGTCCTCTCTGCTAATAAGGGTCCTCTGAAGCGCACAACTCCAGGAAATTTTTCTTCCCCAGATCTCAGCTGTACTTTCACATGGCAGCCCACATCTATCTGGAGGCCTTTACTTAGTCTGTTTCTGTTCTTAAACAGGCTGAACCTCTCTTCACAATTGGTAATTGCCAAAAGCAACTCTGTGAACTTTTCATTTATTTCTACAACATCCTTTTCATCAACAAAGAGAACTGCGTGTGGTTGCTCTAAAATTTTTAATCCAATCTGATTTTTCTTGCCTTTTGCAGAAGGAATCCTTGAGTGCCCCACAGAACGATCTTGGATATACTGTCCTATACTCCCCTTTGGTACTTTAAGGAGCTTTTGTGTTTGTTTGTCTGTAACACTGCATTCTTGAAGAAGCAAATAAAAAATCCGCTCTTCCCAGTAGGGTGAAGTAACTTTTTCTTGGCTCCATAAGCCTGAACTCATTGTGACATTAACTCCAAAACATTAACTCAAAAAAAAGGGAACTACTAAGTTTGTAGTAAAACCGCAAAAGATAAATTCACTGGCAGTCCCAAAGCACGTTTTTAGCAATTTGGTGTCCATGCTGTAAAAAGACAGCAAAGCAAAATGCCTGGAGGACAAGCAAAAAGAAACTTTACACTTTATTCTACATGAGCTAAAATTAAGATTAAAGACTTCTTAAGATCTCATTCGATTAGTAAAAACACACACATAAATGAAACTTCCAAAAGTACCTAGAAAGGTTAAAAGACACACATTACTTGTATCTACCGTAATTTTGCATCTTTAATTAAGGAGATCCAATTGTAAAGTGTCTTCAAAGACAATACAATAATGCTTGTTTCCAAGGCAATGAAATTCGAGTAACAGATAACATTATATACATTTTTAAATATATATATTTTTAACTTTAAAAAGTAGCATTTTTAACAGATCCTGCCTAACTTAAATGAATAAGTTGCTCTTTTTGGCAAAACACACATAAATCAAAAAGGCTGTTATTTCTGTACACACCATTTAAGTAAAAAGTTACCCACCATAATTATTATGATAAACATCCTTTATAAAAAAAAAAAAATGATCAATCATATTCTGAAACTTTAACCACGATTCATTTATCTGTGTTCCATATTTTGATAATGGATCATTTATTTGCTCTCTGATCCAGTTTCATCTCCTTCATCATGTACATTTTGTCCTTAGGCAAATGTTAATCATATTAATCAGAGCCATCATCTAATTTCTCAAAATCTCAGATAATATAAATCTGATTATAGTAAAGAGGTCTTTAAAAATCAATTTTGTAGGGCGCCTGGGTGGCTCAGTTGGTTAAGCAACTGCCTTCGGCTCAGGTCATGATCCTGGAGTCCCTGGATCGAGTCCCGCATCGGGCTCCCTGCTCGGCAGGGAGTCTGCTTCTCCCTCTGACCCTCCCGACCCTCCCCCCTGTCATGCTCTCTCTCTCTCTGTCTCTCTCTCAAATAAATAAATAAAATCTTTAAAAAAAAAAATCAACTTTGTAGCCACTAAAACTTGGACTATGTAACAAGGAATATAACTTTAATACAGTAACAAATACAAAAATTTTTATACCACAATTTTAACTATGTTACCCTAGAAACGAATACAAAAAGATTATTTCTTCTTCAGTTTCAAATTTTCACCTAAAATTTTTACAATACTAATCTTTCACAATTAAAATAGCCTTCTCGGGGCGCCTGGGTGGCTCAGTCGTCAAGCCCTGCATTGGGCTCTGCACTAGGCATGGAGCCTGCTTAAGATTCTCTCTCTCTTTCCCTCTCCCTGTGCCCCTCCCCAAAAAGGATGGAATAAGTAGCTGTATTTAGAAACCAAATGGCCACACTCATGTGACAGAAAATACATAAGAACTTTTTTTCAGTAAGATAATTATTAAGATAATGAACTAAATCTTATTTTGATTTGATGAAATTGTATCATTTTTAACCATCATTTAAAGTAGGGCTGAGAAGGCTATTTTTTTTATTATTACAAGATTTTATTTATTTATTTTGACAGAGAGAGAGAGGGACAGTGAGAGAGGGAACACAAGCAGGGGGAGTGGGAGAGGGTGAAGCAGGCTTCCCACTGAGCAGAGAGCCTGACGTGGGGCTCGATCCCAGGACCCTGGGATCACGACCTGAGCTGAAATCAAAAGTCGGACGCTTAACCAACTGAGCCACCCAGGAGCCCTTCCATCCTTCTTTGAGGTAGAGGTATCCATTTCCATTCCATTTCACAGCAGCAGTTGAGAGCACTATCGTATTTGTCTATTTTATTCTTGGAATTTAGAAATAAGTACTTCTAAAACTAAAGAACCAAATTTTAAGTTTAATAATTTAACATAATGATTAAATAACCTGGCAAATCTACACATGGAATGCATCATTAGATAATGAAGTACTCTGGAATTGGTTGAGTTTTTGTTAAAGGTCTGTCCCTCTACAACCCAGAATGAGACATGTAAGTTACCCGAGACAGGATAAAAAGTTTGGCATCTCTTTAAACCAACATTATTGAAATATCTGTGCAACATCCAGTAAAGGCAGGGGGCAGAGCTGGTGTAAAGTGATTTTCTCTCTCTCTCTTTTTTTTCCTTTCTTTATAATGTGTTTGTCTTAATTCCACTTGAGGGCACTGTCTACTTCAGCAGGAAGAGAATCAGTTTATATTTGCCACTTACATAAGACACCTGTGGAAACCCCTATCTTGGCACCATTATAAACAAAATCCCTCATGAAGGCTACCCAGACAGAGACCTAAACCCTTAAATTGGCTCTATTCCTTTAAAGTACCAAAATGAAGTATGTGTTATTTCTGACTTAAATTCTTCTCAAATGTCAACAAGGAAATACTATTTTCTGAATCATCGAATTATCAATATGAATATAAGCTCTCATGTGATTCTCAAAACGCAAAGATGTTTGTGACTTTGTTAAAAGGCTTGACGTTATGCTTTCTGAGTTCCTGTGTCTGCTTTCTATAGATTTACAGTCCCTGATTTTCCCTTGCAATCAGCCATTTTCTGTGGTTTCCTCCAGGGTGCATATGACTCATTTTATGGCCTTGCTGCTTTCCACCTTACGGCTTCTGATCAGTTCTGAGAAGCCAGGAGATGAAATATGTTTGTGTGTTTAAAAAAAAAAAAAAACACAACAATAACTAAAGAGGTATACGTAAACTCTGAACAGTCTTTTAGGAGTGAAGTGCAGAAGTTTTACCGCATGGACTTGTTTGGGTTACTCCCAGGAGGTGGAGATGGTCACAAAGCAATTTCCAAAAAAGGGAGCTGCTTTGTTCTCTTTCTAAATGTATTTAAATATTTTTGGCCAAAAATTGCTTTTCAAGTATGGTAATTCTATTTAGAAAAGAAATTACTTTTTAAAATTCCTAAAAATTACACCTTCAAATATTAAGAACATCCTTAAATCTTAATATTATATGCCCATGATTTCTATTCCATTGGTTCCCCAGCTTAACAAGTCATGTCATGATTTAAAACAAAGCCCACCAGTGGATAATGAAATATTACCAAGACAAAATTAAATTACTGTATGTAATGCATTAGCACACTATTTTAAATGAATTTGATTACAGAAGTGTTATTTGCTAATCATTTAAGAGACAGTCCACAGTAAAATTTAATGTAATTCCTTTGGATTATAAAAAAGGTGGAAGGCAATTTAACAATCATTATTAAGAACCACAGTTTACAGTAAACACACAGGAGCAGCTTTGCTCGGACCTGCGTTAGCACAAGTGGGAGTGAGCTTCACCTCAACAAAAGCAGGGGTCGTGTTAGACCACTAGAAGAACCAGAGCAAAAGTTTATAAAACATTTAAAAAGCATTATCCAAAAATAAAAAGACTGTGGCCTTTCCTCTTTTAGAAAGTACACATTAAGAAAGAATAAGTTTGGAATTACCGTATTGAACACTGATTCTCATCACTGCAACTGACAGTTCGAGAAAGGTGAATGGGGAACTTTATGACTCCAGAGCTATACAAGATAATAAATTTAATGGCCATGAATATCTCAATATACTGCCATTACAGCAGAAATAGGTTAAGGGCGCCTGGGTGGCTCAGTCGGTTAAGCGACTGCCTTCGGCTCAGGTCATGATCCTGGAGTCCCGGGATCGAGTCCCGCATCGGGCTCCCTGCTCTGCGGGCAGCCTGCTTCTCCCTCTCCCCCTCCCCCTGCTTGTGTTCCCTCTCTCGCTGTGTCTCTCTCTGTCAAATAAATAAATAAAATCTTTAAAAAAAAAAAAAGAAATAGGTTAATAAAGAGACTTCCCTCCACTGTAGAAATGAATAGAATGACAACGTTCTTCTTTCACTGGGATATGCACAACAGTTAGATTAAGTCTTAAGAACCCCAAGCAATAAAAACTAAAGACGATATGGGAAAGATTTAAATGACATTGTCAATGAGTTCTTTATCAGTCAAGGTTTGTTAGTTTGTTTAGTATTTTTGTGCACTCAGCACAGTGTTAGATGCTGAGAAGTATGGCAGATTTAAGATACGATAACTGCCCTACTTTATGTTCTCTTACTACCTTTCAGGTCTAATTGGTTTAAAATTGCCTCTAATAGTATACTTCACTTTGAGTGTAAATATATCACACATGATTCATCTAAATGCCTCTGCACTTATTTCAGGCTGGAAAACTGACTGATTATGAATATCCTGATCATTACTCTAAGTACTGAATGAAAATTACCAAAGAGGTGGAATGCAATGATATATTTAACCCTAAACCATACTGAACAGAAAAGGCCTTTCCTTTGACGACATTCGAGATGAGGGAATGGTTCAGGGTCACAAAGACTTGAAAATACATCTGGTTATCTGAGCTTGTTGAGGGTCTGGATTCTGAACAAATCAGAGTTTAACTGTATTAAAATAAAGCCATTAAACCAAGATGAAGGTTGAAAGACACAAATATTTATCAGTTTCCTATCAATGCAATGAAAAGATGGGTCAAGAAATATGTTTTATACAAAAATATTAAAGGTCAGAATTACCACATTCTAAAAGATAATATACAGTACACATGAACAGCATTAGCCACATACAATTGACAATGGTTGTCTAGAAAATACAATGTCTTTTTAATTCTCAGGCTATCAGGTTATACTGCTCATAGAACCTCACTAGAGAAAACAAAGATAGGTCTAATTCAAGAACGTTTTTGCATCTTCTCAAATATCCCAACTTGTTTTAAAAACCACACAAGACTACCTAAATCAGAATAAAACTTACAATACTAAAATTCTGCTCCTAATTATAAAGGCGGCAAAGAGACAGGGAGGTCAGCATGAATACCAAAGAAAGAAGACACACAGGACTTTTTCCAAAAGCGTCTAGATGGCTAGAATAATCACCATTTTAAGGAAGAATCTCTCTCACTAAAAGAACAAGTTGTTATACCACTAAACAGCTAAAAACAGAAAAACAGATTCCATGACCAGAAAAGAGAGTCAGCTTTATCTTTCCTCACATACTGTGTCCCAAGCGCACAAGTATTCCGTCCCTAAAACAAGCGGGATTTATAAAGTTAAAAAAGAGTCTGGCTCCTGCATCTGCATGTATATTCACGGCGGAAGAACAAGGAACCCCAAAGTCTCCGTAGAGTTAAGCCCGGCCACTACACTTCCAAACTGGAACCCCTCATGTCCTTCATCTTTGTATTTCCAGTGCCAAACCACTGTCTGACATGTAAGGGCATTCAGTACATGTGAAATGAATGAATGATTTGGTTAACTCAGGTGATAAAAGTGAAAGCCAAAATTCCATTTCCTCATCCTAATTGTTTAAGTGATTAAAAGCGTATCTTCCAGGTTAAAAAGGAAAAAATATATATATATACTACTTCTCAGAATAAATGAAGTCATGGTTAATGTTTACCACCACTGCATTGTTACACATAGGAGAAGAAACAAGACAAATTTCACAATTACCAAAACAAGTTGTTTTGAGGTTCATCTGAAACTGGTTTCCTAGATCTTCACATCATGTGTGATGCCTATAAATTCTGTGTAGCCAATGAAAATACCTTGACAAATTTAAGAAGAATGTGTGGAAATCAGGAACAAAATACTCATCTTTTGATGAATAGGATAATTAATCCTTTCTCTCTTCTTATGATAAGGACTTGCGTAAGTCAAGCAAAATCACAGTTCAGGCATGCCAGACCATGAGAAATCACTGCTGTTGAATGTTTGTTTTACATAATAGTGCCCTGGCTTTATCAGCTCTTCACAAAAGTTACCGTCCACAGGAAGGCTTCTTCACAGGAATACTATAACATTTTGCAGCAGAACATAAGAGAATGTTCTGGGTGATATCAACATTCACAGTACACGAACTTCCACAAGAATTCACAGCAAATCATTTTCTCCTAATACTTCTAGTTCAAATCCACCCACTACCCAGTGGGGAATTGGCAGCCTAATCCTCAGGGCCATTCAGTCTACTTGGGGCGTGAGGGGGTGTGCAGAAAAACAACACTTGAATGAACACCCTCCCTCAAGGCCTGGGTTTTTCTCCGGGAGCCAATGACTGCAAAAAGAACAATCTTATTAAGATCTCTATTAGCCCGAATTCAAAAGCAAGGTAAGGAATGCTCCTTAGCTGAGCTAAGGATCCAACTTTCCAGGGAGACCGGGGAGAGGATGGGGGCAGGGATGGTGGGAGCTGAGAGACTGAAAGGCTTGGTGGCTGGAAGATGACAACCATCCTAAAACATGCAAATGCCACAGGGTGGAATAGAAAAGATGCCAAGTACATGAATAACCGGGCAGCGGACCCAGCTGAGAAACAAATTCAGGAACACTATCTTCTGTCAAGACTTCCCGATTTCCCCACAGATCGTTAACATTATAAAGAAAAACAAAAGGAAGGAAAAGAATACCTCGTTTCGACAGAGCGCACCTTTCAACTAAACAACTCCAGGTTGTTGTAGAAGACCATCCTCCTCACCCTGGAAAGGGGGAAACTGAAAGAAAAAGCAGAACACGCCATTAACGAGGCCAGAACCCCGACTGCTCTTCCTGGACAGCAGCCACAAACACCCCCAAACCGACCGATCGATACGCCCCTCGGCTAGGAAAGAGAAGATATTACAGCCCAGGGCTCTCGAGGCCAACGGAGGCCGTCGGGAGCCGGCCAGCGGCCCGCGCCTCAGTTTCCGCATCTGTAAATGGGGGGGCCGGCGGGGGAGACGGTCTCCTGCGCGGCTCCCACCCCAAGTCCTCTCTCTTCCGAAGGTCCCGGCGGCGGCGACCACGCTCCCACGTTTCGGGAGCCCTCTCAGGAAGCCCGGGCGGCGGGGGAGGTGGGGGGGAAGCTCCGGGGGTGGGGAAGCCCGGGCTGACGTCAGCGGGCTCAGCACCCCCGCAGGCCTTGCCGGCTCCGGGCCAGGGAAACTAACGGGCCGGCGGCGAGGGCCCGACGGCCGCGGCGGCGGCTGGAGGCGCCCCGAGGCCGGGGAGGGACGCCCGAGGGGACCCAGCCGTCCGCTGCTCGCCGCCTCAGTAGCCCGCTCACTCACTCACCTCGGGCGGCGGGGCAGCGCCCCTTCCCCAGTGTCGCTAGCCCGCGTCCCACTCCGGCCCGGCGCCCCACACCCACCGCCTTAATATTTACCTCCGACGCGCGGCCCCGGCGCAGCCGAACCTGCTACCTGGGCCCGCCCCCACCTGCCCCGCCTCCGAGCCGCCCGGCGGGGCGAGAGAGGGAGAGCGGGGGCGAGGGGCCAACCGCCGCACTAACCAATCGTAGCCCGAGATGCGTTTCTGTGCACGCTCTGATTGGGCAGCCCTGTAACAGACCTTCCTCCAATGGCTGCCGGCCCGGAGCCGGCTGAAGGGACTTTCCGCTCCGTCAAGCTCGGTCGAGCCAAAGGGAAAGCGGAGGGGAGGGGAGGTGGAGCGGGGGAGGTGGGCGGGGAGCTCTGGCTGATTGGACAGAAGACTGTGGGTGCCGCGTTACCATTGGCCGATACCGGAGCCGGGGCGGGGCGCTGTGCTGCTCCCCGCTCCACCTCCCAAGCCCGGGTCCTGGCTCTCGGCTTAGCTGTCAAAACTCCTGCGGGGAGTTTGGGGCTGGGGTGACACGAGCTGGGAATAGGATTTCAGGATTCCATGAAAAAGCAAAGCTTTAGAATCGGACTTAAGTTTGAATCCTTTGCGCTTTCAATTAGTAGCCTCGTGACGTGAGGATCTCCCGACCACGCTAAGCCTCAGTATCCTCATCTGTAAAATGGAGATAGTCATCACCTGTCCTACAGAACGGTTGTGAAACACCAAACACCGTAGGTAAAGTTCCCGATACACAGCAGGAGCTCAGTCGTGTTGAATCTCTTCTCCTCCCTCAGATTCGGCCCGGGACCTCTGCTGTTTCGAAATCTGTTGCCACCTATCCCAGTTTGGAGGGAGGTCTCCCTAGGGTGGCGAAGACGGGATTTCCACTCGCTGCTTCACTCAGCTCTGTACCCCTGGCCACCAGCCAGGACTTGGGGTGTAGTTAAGGATCTTTCAATTAGAAGGGAGGTTTCTGATTCCCAAAAGTGCTCAAAATATTTAAGGAAGTGCTTTTTATAATCAGTCCCAGAGCCTTGCCGTATAGCATGCCTTGCTGCACTGGATACTCCTGTTAATTAATTCCTTCTCCTTTGACATTTTAAGTACCAATTATAGGAGAAGGTGATTAATACTGAGGAAAGAAGAGGGGTGTGTGTATTTAATCATGAGAGGGAAAATTTCCCTAGTGGAAAGTGACATTTCTGAAGATCTGGGCAGTTTAAACCAGTGAGTACATAAAAGAAGTCACATGAGTGATTACTAACAGTACTAGTAAACAGGCCACCCACCTCCCTTGCCATAAGCACCCAGGATGAAATGGACATCTTTTGAAAACCTAAGCCTCAATCCACTCTTGTGTCTCTTTCATTCTTCCCTATCCTGTGTCCCAAGCTTCAAGGCCACAGTGCCGTAGAAAGCAATAAAATGGAAATCAACAGGCCTGGCTCACAGTGTGGCCTTAGGCGACACAGTTCCCTCCCAGGTCTAGATTCTCCAATAAAGTCAGGAGGACTCAGAGGTCACGGTCTGGCTGTCTGGGCAAGCAATTCAGCCTGAAGACTATTCTTGCTTGACCTATACGGTGAGGAGGAGGAAGAAGAGGAAGTGGAATGGGAGAGAAAGAGTTTGAATCCTTTAAGACAGGGCAGTCTCCCTTTCCACACTGCTCACCATTCCCTAGTTTACTCACCTGGCATATTTCTCTCCTTTACGTTCTCTACTGGCCCCTGAAGGTCAGTTTGCCACCACAGGACGAAGACATCTTCAAGCCTTTTCTGATGATGGTATTTGGTGCTGCTGAGCCCACTGCTTTCTGTCAGAGCCTTGCTCAGTCCTCCTGCGACCCATTCCTTGAATCAGACAGTGTCAAAGCCTGACTTCATCCAAGAGATACTCTTCCAAGCCAGGCCCGATAAACAGGGCTTATCTCAATTACCATCTCCCATCAATTGGTAATGACTGCCTAGAACACTGTGTTGAAAACAATTCTAAAACTGTATTCAGGCTCTCAGGGAAAAGAGATGTCTGCCAGGGGATAAGATTGGGGAATAGTGTCATGGTGCTATTATTTGCAATCCTTGCTAAGCCAGTCTCTCCTTTTACAGAGAGGAGATTAAGGTCCAGAGAGGGAATATAACTTGTCCCAGGTCACCCAGGAGATGAGCTGAGACTCTGGTTCTCCTGATTTCAAGTCAGGGCTCTTTCCAGCTCTGTTGAAACAGATTCTCCAACTGAAATGCCTATCCTCTCTGCTTTCCAATCCTCCCTTTGTTTCAGGCCTAACCAAAGTCCACCCTCTTCCAAGGGTCTTTGCAGATGGCTCCAGTCCCTGCTTGATCCCCTCTGTTTCTTCACCACCTCACAGCCTGTTCCACTCAGCCTGGCCTGGATCCACACAACTCCTGGTTGGGTTACCGAGCAGGGACCAAGAAACCCAGGGGTGTCCAAGAGAGATGCCATCCATACCCTCTGGCAGGGAAGGGCAGACCTTAAAGGACTAGCTACAAGATCACTTACTAAACTACGGAGAGCAGGGTGAGCCCCAGAAGGAGAACTGTGCTGAGCACACATAAGATGTGGTTGGGCACTGAGGGAAGGCCTGTTTGAGGAAGTCACCTATAAGATGAAATAGGAAAGACGACTAGCAGCCAAGGGGGAAAGGGAGCACTTCCGGCAAAGGGAACAGGACTGTGCATGACATATTGAAGGAACTGAAAGAGGCAGAGCACAGTAAATGTGAGCACAAAAGAGCCCTTCAGGTAGGGCCTTGGGAGTCAAGTTTTGGTCTTTAGCTTAAGAGCAGGATCCCGCTGAAGGGTTTTAATAGGGTAGTTAACACTGATTCTAAACTGTCTCCCATAGCTCTCTTTGTACACAGCAGGAACCCAACAAAAAGCCATTGGATTAATTTGAGCTCTCTCCCCCAAGAGCTGGAAACCTGGTCACCTGGTAGGGACCTGTGACTTGGAGTAACACCTACCCAGGACCCAACCAAATCTCAGTAGCACAAGTAACAGTCATTTCTTAGACCCTGCCCCGTGCTCCCCAAATGGCCACCACAGGCTACCTCTTACTTCCAGCCTCACCAAATTCAGTATTTTAGGTCCTACTGCTTGCTCAGCACCTCCACCCCACACAGCCAAAAGTGAACTCCTGATGCTCCTCCACTCCCACCTCAGTCCTTCTGCCTTCCCCATCCCAGGAAATGGCAACTCCTAGCTGTTCATCCCGCTTCCCATGCTTCCAGCCGTTTCCCCACCACTCCTGGGAATAGGGGCATTCAGAATAAGCTCTAAACCATGGGGCTAATGAATAAGCTCTGAACCACGGGGCTAACTGGACCAGGCATCCCCACAGGCAAGGATACTGCATGGGCGCTTTCTCCCTACCGCCCAGCATGGTGTTTCAATCACTGGATGAGTGGAGAGTCCACCATACCAAGGATGTGCTTGTCTCTTAGAGGTGGGGGGTTGGGGGGGGTGGATCTGCAGGTACAACTGAACATTCTGTGTGGGGGCTTTTACTCTGGTCACCCTAAAGCTCTTTTTGATAAGATAAAAGGGATTACTTTAATCATCTTTCCCCTAATCCTGCTGAACTATAAATCCATGCTCCCGTTTGAGCTATTTGCTGTTATCAATGACAAATGATCTCTGCGTGATTTAAAAAACACACCCACAGAGAAAAGGGGTCTAATGCTCTTCGTTGGGACCTTTGTGCTACCTCCGGAATCCCATTTGGGGCAGTAAATACATTAGGAATGATCTCATGTGGCAGGAAACCTTCCTCCCTTAGGAAGGAGATACCAATGGTGTTGGGAAAGAGGCGATTCATTTTTATAATCCTCCCCAACTTCTACGTTCTGCCTCCTTTAGGCAGGTTGATTCTCCATTCGGTTAACAAATATCTGAGCATCGACTATGCACTAGGCACTATTTTAGCCCTGGAGGACTCTGCAGCAAGCATGGCTTTTGTTCTCATGGAGCTGACATTCTAGGGGAAGGAAGAAACACATGTACGTCAGGTGGTGTGTGCTGGGAAGACACTATTAAGCAGGGCTGGGGAGGAGAGAGTGGTCAGGGACGGCTATTTGAGGTAAATGGTTCAGGGAAGGAGTCCCCTGATGAGCTGACACTTGAACAAAGACCTGCTGTAAATGAGGAAGCCAACCAGGCCACTATCTCGGGAAGAGTGTTCCTGTAAGAGAAAACAGGCAAATGCAAAGGTCTGGACGCAGTTTGCGCTGTCAAGGAGCGGCCAAGAAGCCGTGTGGCTGGAGCGCAGGGAACGGGAGTCGGAGTGGCAAAGGGGAGGTCCGTGAAAACACAGGGGTGGGCCAGGCCAAGAGGGGACCTTGACTTTCACCCTGGGCTAGATTGGCAAGTTCTGGAGCATTTTGATCAGAGCAGTGGTTCATCAGACTTACCTTTTAACAGGCTGACGTTGTGGGTCAGGTGCCGTAGGCAGGCCAGTTAAGACACTGATGCAGTAATCCAGGTAAGGGTGGGCCCCTAAGCAGGCCCTTCTTTCCTGGGGGTGGGGGAGAGCACATGGGGAGGGGGGACATGAGGAACTGAAGATGTCAAGAAAGTTGTTCCAAGTAAAAAAGGGAGGGGAGGGATTTTCATGGTAACTGATAAGGGAGGGATGATGCCTAGGGGATTGGATCTGTGGGTTGTTCTGGAAGTGGTGATAGATGGGATTAAATTTAGAGCAAAAAAAAAAAAAAAAAGGAATCTTGGAGAATCCACCGATCTCGGATTGCCTGTCCGCACAGCTGAAGGATGGCCCTGATGTCACTCACCTGAAACCTGCCACCCAGGGCCCGAGCCTATGTGTTCCATTGGGTGCAGGCACTACCAGAATGTGCGCCCCCACCGCTGTGTGCTTCACCCGCTGGGCTGCACCCATCTCCTGAGTGGGGATGGAGGCGTGAAGATGTGTTGGTGCAATAATGAAATGATGCTGTATGTAGTCTCAACTCAGCCTGCTTAGAATGTGATTCTACCTCCCACACTTTCTGCGGGGTGTATTCGTTCCAGTATCTGATTTTGGCGC